ATGCATCACTGCATCACTGCACAAAGTCACATGCATTACTGCATCAGTGCATAAAGTCGAAGTGACAACTCCTATGAAGTTGATGCATAGTTGTTCAGGTCATAAAAGTTGACGTGACAACTCTGATGCATAGTTGTCATAGTTGTTTACAATAATTTCATACATATAGCTACCATGTGTATATATGATATAAATATCGTATCATACCACAACAAAAGTTTTACAGCTATTTCCAGCGATATTATCATGACATATACGGTGGTTGATCTATATTCAGCAATGGGTCGCTATTGGGTTACAGATGGAGATGAATTTCAATACCCATTAAATCCAAATTTGCGTTACTCACGTGCCACCGTCAATACGAGTGAGAGCTGAGTGGGAATTTCGCATAACTCGAGCAAACGTTCTCGTTGAGTTATGTCGTGAAGTTAATATTAAATTTCCTCGCCGGTTAGCCATGCGTATGCCAACTGACACTCCACAGTTGTTGCAAAGGGCATTGCATCGTATCCGTGACGAAGTTAATCGCATGACCCAACGTTTGCAAAGGTCCTCACTAATGAAGACCGCAAATGAGCGTGTTGAAGATGGGTTAATGGATGATGCACACCAGTACTACGCGTGGAGCATGGATGTTATGTATGAATCTGATATTGAGATGTCAGATGATGATGATAATGAATGAAATTGTTTGGATGAATGACCAAACCATTTATGTTGTAATGAATTTGTAATGCTTATCCACGACTTATCAATGAAGGGAGATTTTTCAATTGTTTTTAGTCTTGAACAATTGTAATTTATGATTTTCTAAAAATAAACAAAAATCAGTTTTTAATTTTTTTGTAAACATAAACCAAAAACGTAAACGTTACCAAACGCTACCTTATTTATTTTTATTTTAGGGTTTAGGATTTATAATTTAATTCTTCAAATTTATTTAAACTTCAATTTTATAAATGGTTGTCTCAATTTGTAAAATTGAGGAAAAATCGTAAATTACTATAAATAATGCACAGACTACGGATAATGAGAGAGAGGTAGAGATGTGAAAGAGATTTGTGTGATTTATCAATATAAGTAAGAATAAAAAATTATGAAATTATAATTGCGAGTAAATAAGTATGACACATTTACATCAGATGTACAAGTTTGATTTACAAAAACTATAACAATTACCAAAAAAAAAGAAAAACTATACAGTCCATATCACAACCGCTAATGCCCTAACCTGCCCCCAGTCCCACAACCCCGACCGTGGACCTCCCTCATCGGTCTCCTGCGGTAGACTCTCTGAATATCTGGCACTCCCTCCCCTGCATGTGGCCCTCCAGTGACTGCCTGTGACGCTTGTGCGTGTGACCCCCCCTCTCCTGCATCTGCTGCCCCTGATCCTGTCTGTGTCTGCAGATCGGACACTACTGTGAGCTGTGAAACTCCCTCATCTGGTGCAACTGTGTCACGATCTGCAGCTTGACCTCGACCTCTGCCTCTGCCCGCACCCCGACCTCGGCCACGACGTCCCCCACGACCATAACCTCGGCCTCTCCCTCGCGCTCTGGGGGAGGGCTCAATATCGGCCTCATCATCAACGTGGGAGATGTCAGTGAGAACTGCATCATGTGTACTCATGGGCGCGTCGAAATAGTCCCCAGAAAATCAGGTGGTAACTGGGTGGGTGGGGTAACAACATCATGCATGAACCGGGGCGCGGTCGAAGTACTCCCCAAAAAAGCAGGTCGTAACTGGGTGGGTGGGGTAACAACATCATGCATGAACAATATACATTAAAATAATACAAAGGCGTCTGTCAAAGCTGAAGGTGGTAGTGGGTCTGTCAAAGCTGAAGGTGGTAGTGGGTCTGTCAAAGCTGAAGGTGGTAGTGGGTCTGTCAAAGCTGAAGGTGGTAGTGGGTCTGTCAAAGCTGAAGGTGGTAGTGGGTCTGTCAAAGCTGAAGGTGGTAGTGGGTCTGTCAAAGCTGAAGGTGGTAGTGGGTCTGTCAAAGCTGAAGGTGGTAGTGGGTCTGTCAAAGCTGAAGGTGGTAGTGGGTCTGTCAAAGCTGAAGGTGGTAGTGGGTCTGTCAAAGCTGAAGGTGGTAGTGGGTCTGTCAAAGCTGAAGGTGGTAGTGGGTCTGTCAAAGCTGAAGGTGGTAGTGGGTCTGTCAAAGCTGAAGGTGGTAGTGGGTCTGTCAAAGCTGAAGGTGGTAGTGGGTCTGTCAAAGCTGAAGGTGGTAGTGGGTCTGTCAAAGCTGAAGGTGGTAGTGGGTCTGTCAAAGCTGAAGGTGGTAGTGGGTCTGTCAAAGCTGAAGGTGGTAGTGGGTCTGTCAAAGCTGAAGGTGGTAGTGGGTCTGTCAAAGCTGAAGGTGGTAGTGGGTCTGTCAAAGCTGAAGGTGGTAGTGGGTCTGTCAAAGCTGAAGGTGGTAGTGGGTCTGTCAAAGCTGAAGGTGGTAGTGGGTCTGTCAAAGCTGAAGGTGGTAGTGGGTCTGTCAAAGCTGAAGGTGGTAGTGGGTCTGTCAAAGCTGAAGGTGGTAGTGGGTCTGTCAAAGCTGAAGGTGGTAGTGGGTCTGTCAAAGCTGAAGGTGGTAGTGGGTCTGTCAAAGCTGAAGGTGGTAGTGGGTCTGTCAAAGCTGAAGGTGGTAGTGGGTCTGTCAAAGCTGAAGGTGGTAGTGGGTCTGTCAAAGCTGAAGGTGGTAGTGGGTCTGTCAAAGCTGAAGGTGGTAGTGGATGAGTTCTTTACAGCTACAAAGGTGAGCTCTCTTTACAGCCTACACATGCACTATAGTGTATAGTATATTATATGTTAACAGTTATAATTTGATAATGAATAGTATTATTTTATCAAATTATAGCAATGGTATTTCAATAGTCATTTGTTATTTTGGCAAATTTCAACCAATTTTCCCTCCAAGTTTGTAGGTATTGTTTGGATATAATTTTTTTTTTTTGTGATTTTATTTTTGTTTATTTTTTGTCTTTTGTGAACTTTTTTTAATTGTTTGTAAAAAAAATTATATATTTATATTATTCCCGACTAGACAAATATAAAAAATGAAAAATTGGAGAAAAAAATATATAATTCACCCCAGCCAAAAATATATCACTACATATTTTTTTTGACACAAACTGTTGATTGTTTTTATTTTTGGCTTTTTTTTTTTTTTTTTTAGCCAAATAGAGCACAACAGTTCTATTTGGTTTCATCACGATCGTCTACCTGTTTGTTGTTTATTTTTGTTTTTTTTTTTTTTAGCCATACAGAGCACAACGGCTCTATTTGGTTTCATTATCATCGACCATCTATTTGTTGTTATTTTTGTTTTTCTTTTTTTTTTTTTAGCCAAATAGAGCACAACGGCTCTATTTGGTTTCATCACCATCGTCTACCTGTTTGTTGTTTATTTTTGTTTTTCTTTTTTTTTTTTAGCCATACAGAACACAACGGCTCTATTTGGTTTCATTACCATCGACCATCTGTTTGTTGTTATTTTTGTTTTTCTTTTTTTTTTAGCCAAACAGAGCACAACGGCTCTATTTGGTTTCATCACCACCGTCCACATGTCTCTTCCCTCTCTCTCTCACTCTCAGTCTTTCTCTCTCTTTCTCTCTATTTGGTTTCATCATCACCTCCTCCCTCTCAATCTCTATCTTTCTCTCTCTCTCTCTCACTCTCAGATATCATCTCTTCTCTCTTCATCACCGAAAGTCTCTCTGCTCTCCGTCTCTCTCTTCTCCATCCATCACCAGTCTTTCTCTTTGCTCTCTGTCTCTCTCTTCTCCATTCATAACCTCCGTTTCTCTCTGTTTTCCATCTCTCTCTACCCCTCACCCCTGTCTTTATCTCACTCTTCTCCCTCTCTATATCTCTTTTCTATCTGACTGATCGGTCATTTTCTCGCATGTCCATCACCAATTCCCTCTGAATCAATCATTCATGTCTTCAAATTTCACAAACCCACCTCCAAATCTATCCCTCTCCCTTTCACTCTCACTCTCGCTCTCACTGCTGTCTACCCCATCCATCTGTTTCTCTTATTGTATCATCTGTATCAAAGAATACAAAGAAGATCACGAATTTGTATCATTTGTAGAATCATCTGTATCAAAGAACACAAAAAAGATCATTTGTCTCTCTTCTTCCTCTCATTGTCAAGTATTTTTTTTTTTTTACTTCACTATGCTAATTTTCTAATTATTTTTTTTTTAAATTTTGTTTGCTTCAAATTGGTGAAACTAAAATTTGTAAAATTGAAAATTTGGTGATTCTGTGTTTGGTATGTTGAAATTTGGTGATTATGTGTTTTTTTTTTTTTTTAAATATTATTGCTCCATCTCTGATATATTATTGTTCCACTGTGTTTATTTCTTCCATGAAAATTTTGGAGCCAAATTTATGTTTATTTGGATGATGGGCAAGTTTGGCAATTGCCAAACTTGTTGCCAAATTTGAGAGATGAAATGGCATTTGCCAAATTTGGCAAGGGTTATGGTAGCCCATTAGAGCAACATTTTTTAAAACTCTTGTCAAATTTTGGCAATGGCAGCTCAAATAGCTTGCCAATGGAGATGCTCTTAGACATCACAAAATAATATTGTGACTCTCTTCTATTACTAAAAATGGGATAGGAATTTTAGACTAATTTTTCCTAAAATAAAATGTAAAAATCTCAATTAAAAAATAAAATAAAATAAATTTATTTAATTTTTATTGATGTTTATTTATTTAATTTTTTATATATGTTTTATTTAAATTTTTTTGATATTTTATTTAATATTTATTATTTTTAAAAAATAAATTTATTTAAAATTTTATTTTAAAAATAACATAAAATTTTATTGATGTTTTGTTTATTTATTAAAAAAATAAATTTATTTAAATTTTAAAAAATAAAATAAAATAAAATTTTATTTAATCTAGAAAAAAAATTAAAATATTAAAGACATATTTAGTTTTATTATTACTTAGTTAGCCAAAAATTTTAAAATATTAAAGACAAATTTAATATTGCTATTACTTAGTAAACAACTGAAAAGGGTAAAATAATCTGTTGAGCATTTATTATTCATCATAATATTCTAATCAAATATTGAATTCAATAGGATAGTATTTCGAGATATCTAATCTCACAAGAAAACAAATATGGATAATCATTTCCAATCAAATAGTCCAGAGACCATATATCTCAGCAGTAACAGTTCAATGGATTATAGTCCCCCTATCCAGTCTGTCTAGACAAATATACTGGTATATTACATATACTATTTTTTAAAGTCTGTTTTGTTCTCTGAAAAAATAGAATTAAATTAATACAACAAAATGACAATTTTACTCCTATTTTCTCTAAACCTAAAATTACATTAATATGTTAATTAAAATAAATTAAATGAAAATATAATTAAAAATTGACATAAAATATAAAAAAATAATTAAATAAAATATAAAAACAAACAATAATTAAGAATTGATCTAAAATTTAATTAAGGGTAAATTATACTAACACTCCCTGAGATTTGGTCCAATTATATTCCACCCCTGACGTTTTGGAAATTACATTCTCACCCTATCATTAATAGTTTCATTTCACAAACCCCCCTCTTATATAAAAAGCAATAACTCCTAGTAGAAAAATAGAGGAAATTACATTGGAAAAAAAATGAAGTAACGCAAGAAAAAAGAGTGTATGAGTTCAATGTTTTCAATTTGTCTAAATAATTACAATGACAAGGAGTTAGTGTAATTTCCTAAACGTCAGGGCAGATATGTATTAAGCACAAACCTCAGTGGGTGTAAGTGTAATTTACCCTTTAATGAAATTAAAATTAGATTAACATGTTAGAATTTATAATAATAAATAATTAAGAATTTAGGATTAATTGCGATCTAAAATATAATTAAATTAAAATTAGATTAAAAAGTTAGTAATTATAATAAATAGTTAAATATTTAGGATTAATTGTGGTCTACAATATAATTAAAATTAGAATTAGAATAAAAATTTAAGAATTACAATAAATAATTCAGAATTTATAATTAATTGTGATTTAATGGAATTAATACTAGACATTATAAATTATGTGTATGAAAATTAAGAGAAAGAAAATAACAAAAAAAATATAGTGTTTAAGGGTATTATAGTCGTTTCATTTCATATCTATAATTAATTTTAGTCCAAAATCACATGGGGCATATGACTATTTTCAAAAGATAGGGGGGTAAAATGCTACGAAGCTATATCACGAAAAATGATGTACCAGTCCACTTTCTAAACCCAATGATGGAGTCCGTAAGAGAAATGATTAACTAATAATTAGAGAAGATATGAAAGAGAAAGTTGACCCAGGTATTCTAATTAATTGTCATATCATTAGGTATAGCCATGCTCGCCATATCACATGAAGGTAAAATGAATTTTGCACAAAAAAATTAGGAAGGATTTTCCCATTCAAAACTGTCAGTTATTTTGTCTCTGACAGCTTCATATTCATTTTCTTTCCTTGATTATGTTGGAAATCAATTTTTTGGTCATTCTACATATCCATATAACAAGACAAGAAATTCCTCTACTAATACGTCATTGCTTTCTTTCTCTTCACCTAATAAAGACATGTAAATATTGAATACTGTTCAGACCACAAAAAATAACATCAATATTGAAGCTTGTTCATACCACAACAACTTTCTTTTCATTGATTCCAAATAATCATACAAACTGTCCGACCATCGCGATTTTCTACAATTACTCAATAAATTTTACAAAAATAAAATACATATATATATATATATATATGACTCGAGACGGACAGCTGAAGAACCTATAGGAATATATAGATATATCTCCCCAGAAATTCACTAAAATTGCTGAATCAGTGGGGTATGCGCTGTGAACTTTCACTATGTACAGTATTTTACTGAGAACTAGTGGAAACAAAAGTCACCTAGAAAAACCATTTTGCTCTTTTTGGTCGTGAGATTTTGAATGAGAAGAGTCATCATCGTGACTCGTGCCCATTCCACACAGTTTGCAAGGGTTAGCAGATCTCTGTGAGCACCAATGATCGGGGACACTCAAGAAGTAGGTGGTAATGAACTTCCTAAATCTCTTCTTGTACTCTCGCGGAGATATGATGGTTGGCAACTGGTTCTTAGGAACAACAAGCGAGGACTTGACCCATGTCTCAAGTTGCTTGTCCCAAGTATATTGCCTCAGATAATCAATAATGCCGCATACAAGTTCACGCCGATGAGTATCCACTCCCACCAGTAGAGAATAATCCATCACATTGATTGACTGCAAATAAGCACTGAGTGAGGGCTTGACCCAGGTAATAACATCTTACATTTATTTTAGTGTCCATTTGTTTTCGAAAGTTTGAAAACTGGAAATGAAAAATGCCAACAGATTTCTAATTTTGTGAAGAAAAAAAATTGTGTTTTCACATTTTTTAAAATAACTTCGTGCAAACTCACATTGAGAAACGTCGTGTCATTCCACACAGCACGTTGCAGAAGACGCTTGGATTTTGTACCAACATATAAAGGAGAGGCATTCATGTCATTGACGAAGTTTTGGTCCAAAAGAACATCTCCTGAACCATCAGCAGCAGAATTGAATCGAGCATGCAAAGCACCTTTAAGATCGTACTGGCGTGTAATGTTTCGACCAAATGAAAGGTTCTCCATCACCATGAGGTCATATTTTATCTCTTTCCCACTCTTTGTCTGTCTAATAGTTATCTGCAATCGAATCAAATGCTTCAAAGAATGTCCACCGTATATATATATATAGGTTAGAGAGTATGAAAGAAATAGATAGACCAACCTGATAAATCCCAAGAATTTTCGCAAGGCAGGTTTGGTTCCCTTGCTCATAGCACTCATTCATATACCCAAAATAATCTGGAGCAAACTTTGCGAATGACTCGAATTCTGTCTTCTTAATTTCCTTTATAATGAAGCGGTCATCAAGAGTTTTAGCAAAGAACGATTTACTCTTCCCACCTTTGGCATCCCAGTTTCTACAACGGCACAGGGAAGCAATGTAATCAAGCTCTGATGGACAACATCCGTTTCTGAGTTCACGGAATTGGTTGGCATATAAACAGAGTACAGAATATTTACCCCTTCCAGGTAATTTTCCAAACCCCATAGAGACTTCTGGGTGAAGATCCCCAAAAGAAACCAAGGAGTCCAACAAATTCAACCCATCAAAACTTGACAAGTGTGATTCTTCTAAAGATCGCGGAGAATGGGTTCCATCTGAATCCAAAGAGCCAACCGAAGAGAAATGCGGGGAAATCAGAGAGGATATCCGTGTCAGGCGGTGCGACTTCTCATACATTTTAGCCATTGTTACTTTATCTCTCCTAGCATCATCGTTCAAAACCTTTGTTGGAGCAGGTACATCATTCAACAATGTAAGAGCACAAGCAATAATGCTTGAGAATTCATCCTCATAGTCTGACACAATATATTCATCAGTACCAAGAGGTATATGTAGCCTTGAGCCCTCCTCAGTGATCAATCCAAGAGCATTAGGGAAGCTCTCTACAGTATAGCTACATATAGATTCCAATTTTGGCACGTAACCTCTCTGAAGATCCTTCAAGTACTCCCGCCGAATTTCTGAAAATGAAGTCCAGACTGATGATCCCTTCAAATTTTCCGAGTTGGGTAGTAATGGAAAATAAGACGAATCTCTTTGAGACACATTTATATCATGAACACCACCTCCAAGATCTGCAGTAATCGGAATGGTTCTATCCACTTCCAAATCACCAAGCGAAGGACGATTCTCTTCCTCACAATTATCATCGCCACTACAAAAATGGATAGGGACATGGCCAGATGCATTTAAGCCCTCAATATCCTCAGCAACAATAGATGAGGTGAATGGCTCGGCTCGTTCTCTAGATCCTTCATTGGGAATTTCTTGAATTGGAAATTCTTTGGACTCTAAAGATGGTTCCGACTTGATTTTCATATCAACACCATTGTCAGAAATTTTATCGCCATTCCCAAATGAATTTACTTCCTTGTTAGTTTCCCCAGCACCAGTGCCATCCTCCAAATAAGTTTGCTTCTGCATTGCTTTGCCAGTGGTTCTATTGTTGATCACTCTAGAGTCTGAAGAGAGCAGTGAATGTAAACGTTGATCCCAGATGCATGATTCAAGCTGAAGATCACACAGAAATCGGTTCAAACTAAGAAGTTTGTACGTGCCCTCATCTGGATTCCCACTCTTGACAACAGCATTCTGAATGTTCATCTGATTTTTTATTTACGCAACCAACAGAACAGAAATACAACCTTAGCTACTATTTTATAGAATTAAAGAAAGAAATACTTGCATGTAGAAGATTAAAAATTGTTAGTGATTCGACAACATAGATCATGGAACTATAATTAAAATAGTATAAGGAGGAAAGATAAATCAAATAAGCAAAGAATATTACACTAGATCCAGAATGTGGCATATCTGATCTGATAACTACAAATACGAGTTCCTGAATCCTCATACCTAAAGATATCTAACAAAACCAAAAAAGAACTTTGACAGTCTTATTCTGTTACACAAACTCTTCTAAATGTATGAAATACCCGTGTTAGACACTCAACACATGAGTGAAGGTATGGGATATGTGTCTAACATGTGTAGTTGGCCATTCACCTTCGCAATTGATTTAACCACAACAAAACTATGCATAAACCCCCATATTTTGCATGAAATGCTTTAGGGAACCTTATGAACACCATTTCACCCTCAAATATAAAACAAGTATTATTAAGAAATATGAATATTGTGTGGTGTCCCTGTGCCTTTGGACATGGGATTAGACTAATTGGACACTTAGACACATACCCACACACAACACACCCTTGTACCCGAGTCCATATAACATAGATCTTATTTCATCATATTAAAAGGGGTGATTTTGTAAGCTTTTCTTGGATATTCAAGAATCAAGAGATTTTCTTCAATGTTCTTAAAAGTAAGGTTTGAACTTGAGACCCACCCCTAACCAACATAAGCAAAAGCAATTAACCCTGTATTATGGATATTACCCAATTAAAATTGTCAAGTAATCCCAGTTCCTATCCATATGCATCAGACTTACAGAATTACAATAATTCACAACTAAGTCAACAGCACAGAACAAGGTAGTAAATTTGTTTCTATTAAGGCACAAATCCATGTCATATACCAATGCTTCATGCACAAAGGCATATACAGAGGCATACATGTACTATATTAAAGCTTGTCAAAAAAGGAAATCTATGTCTATACTGTGTAATTTATCAACCTTGACAAATGAAAATTAGGCACTGAGAGATGTCTTGTGTTGTAACAAACTAAATTCATCAAAGCAGACGAACACCTATACATAGTTCTTCCAACTTACAAGCAAAACAATAAAAACAATTAGTACCAAGAAGATGTTGAGATCTAACCTCAAATTGACTCCTTTCCTGCTTTAACATCTCTTCAATATCAGAGAACTCCTTTATTGTTCCACCAAGGTTCAGGCTTGAACCTGAAAATCGAGAGGAAATCTCTTGCAAAGATTTTGCAACCTCCTCGAACAAATGTATTCCTTTCATGTAAACCTTGGAGGTAAAGAAAGAAAATGTCAATTCCAGTTGAAGCAAGAAAATAAGAACAAATACTTGTCATTTATCATTGACCCGGAAGAGACAAATGGAAAAGAGCATGCTCAAAAAAGTTCATACATTTTCAATTTCCCTCTTAAGCAACTCTCGTTTGATTAAATTACTGAACTCCAGTTTCTGAGGTGGTAAAGACACAGAATAGGTTTCAACTTGAGAGTATCTCAACATTGCAACCATGGGGCCTAATCTGCACGTAGAATTCAGATGAAGTAAGAATATAGATACAAAAACTCACAAAAGGCAGTGTAGAAGGGATGTAATAAAACATACACATGATCCACAGATATAATCATCTATCTCATGAAAACTGAAAAGTGGATTTAGAGGAGATATACTAAGACCACGACAGGAAATGCAAGCACAAGAACTGTGGATTTCTTAAGGGAAAAGTTAAATCTAGCCCAATTTGATAATCCACCATCCCCTCTCAAATGGATGTAAATTTTACAACTTTTTTATCAAAGCTATTGAAAATGAGAAATTCTATTTGCATACCACACTTTATCACAATACACACTATTTGTGCCGTTCAGATATCAACTTCTGAACAAAAATCAATTGTTCGGATATTAACTATTGAATAGGATTTTTATTCGACCAATTGATTTTTGGTCAATAGTTGATATTTGAACAATTGATGTTTGTTCGGAAGTTGATATTCAAACGGTACAAATGGTGTGTACTGAGATAAGGTGTGGTGTGCGAACAGAATTACCCATTGACAATAAACTTTTATGGTGCAGTGCAGGGACAAAAAGGCCCAAAGTGTCTCTCCAAGCCCAAGCCCCTCCTGCTAATTCTGTTTTTACATCCACATGAACATTCACAAACACATCAAGATATCACAACTTAGATAAATATAAACATGTTGCTCCTCTCAATGCAGAACACCCAAACAAATGCAGCCTTGGAATACATAGTATTAACAAGTAGGCCGTACCCAAAGAAGCAAAGGAAGTCCCTGTGCAAAGAATGCCCACAGCTAGATGGTCTACTAAATGAAGAGTGGTTTGAAAAGCTGAGATCCAAAAACTTTCCAAATGACAAACCACGGGCAGCAGTGGATACCAACACTCTTTTAGTAGATTTTGAGTTCCCATTGTGAGATTTACATTTACCACAGCGACTCCACATCCAAAGTTTCCCTTCAGTTTCACCAGGCAAATGCCACATATTAGGCAAGCTTCTAACTTGGATTGTGAGCTGCTTATTGTGATGTGCATAGTAGTAAAAATGAGCGTTTGGTGGCTCATTGCATGTCTTGCACTGAAGCCTCTGCACAAACCGGCAGTTTGTATGAGTGCTCACTTCAAGTGAATACAAAACAAAACTAAAAAGAAAAATGATCAAACGAAATATAATTCAAGTATGACCAAAACTTTAACAAAGACCATCACATCCTTCTGATCAGGACACTAACAATTATTTAGTCATTTCACTGAAAAGTAAAAACTGCTTCTCAATAGAATGACCAAAGCAACCTTCAGAACCCTGGAGAAACAACAATAGTCACTTCTGTAGATGAAAGTTCCACTCGGCAATCCTGTTAAACTCGTCCAAAAGCTCATACTGACAATACAAGAATAAAAATGCCCAAACAAATGGAGTTTTGAGGAACCTGATTGAGTAAATTATCCTGCAAAAACTTTCCAAGGGGAACATCAAAGTTCCGGTAGAACTTGATATGAGAAAGATGACTTTGCTCACAAATAGTCCCTCTTGAGGCATTCCGGATAGACATCAAAACCAAAATACTCTCAGAATCCAACACTGTACTGATGTTATCCTTACTTTGCATTTGGTCTTCACCATTTCCACCAGATTTTTGTGTCTCTGAAGGGGCTTCGCAACAAGCAGACGGCGAATTGGATTGTTCATGATCAGATGCTTTGTCTTCATCAGAGCTACCCTTCACTTCCACATCACAATGATCAAATGCCTCTGGAGAAATTGAAACATGAAGGGAAGCTGGGTTTTGACCATTGGAGTCCCTTCCATTACATTCTAAGTATGTGGACATGGAGGGGCAAGAATGAGAGGACAAAAGAGGGAAACTGTCCCCAATTACTCTCTTTAGAGAGGCTGAAAGGGATGATAACCCAGAAAGAACAACAGGATTGTATGGCTCATAAGAGAATGTAGAATTTCCTTCTAATGCCAAGTTCAAGTTGTGGGACCCTTCTTCATGGAATCCATTGGATATGGGAATGTCAATTGTACACGAAGAATTAGTTTCTGCATTAGGCTCCTCGAGACAAGAAAATTTTGAATTACCGGATTGAGCTGATGGGGAGTGTCGATCAGTTGGTGATACACTTGGCACTCCATTGAAAGGAATGGTAGAGAACATTGCTCCTTGATCTAGTAGGAAAGAAGTCTCTAGGATTAAATGATATGCCATAACAACTGCACACTGGACCACACATTTAATCCTCTTCAATTCATTGCTGTGAGTTCCCTTCAGCAAAATCTGAAAGATCAAGTTTGTAACCATTATAAGTTTAGAAGTATTTCTTCAAAAAGCCCACATTCCATGAAAACATAAGAACTTGATTCTACAATTTTAACTTATATCACAAAAGGAAATACTAAAACTAGCCAGTGTCTACTCCCAAGCCAAGACCAAGAAGAATGATTTTCAGATATTTCATACTTTTTCGCCAAGTCCATGAACATGCACAGTACAGTAGCCAAGGCATCAGTTAAGAGAATGGCTACTTGCAACCCAACACCCACTCCAGAATCAGGGTAGAAGTTGCTGGCATACAAGTCTCCTGTGTTCTCTATGTGAAGCCCTGGCACTAAAAGCATTAGGCGTTCATATGAAAAAAAATTTCATGTGATTTGCGTTAAGACTCAAGCATACCATTATACCACCTAAGAATTAGTACCCATGTCAAACACACCATAAACAGGCAAGGAAAGAAAAATATGGTGCGAACAAGCATAACATCAGAATTCTACAAAACCAACTTGATACTGACACAATGTCCTCCTTCAATAAAGGTTCATCATAATAGTTACCTGTATTTTCAAAATGATGTGAAGTACCCATTCCAAAGATGTTATAAAGCCTTACCCAATTCAATCCCTTTGAAATTCCTAAGCTATTGGGTAAGAAGGATTCAACCAAAATAATTAAATGTCACCCATACCCAACACAAAATAACCAAATAAATGTGACAAGGAAAACTACACCTTCATACTCAGCTCCACTTAACCCAACTCAACTTAGCAACCCAGTTAACTGGGGTCAGTATGGCACACAATGCTCAAAAATAAATCATTCATAATATTTGTTGACTTCATTGTACATACCAGAGAATGGCATAATATACGAAAATATGGAAGAAAACGAATTTGTAAATAAATTGAATTTTACACTAAAAAGAAATGAACAAAAAGGTATGTAGGTGGTTTCTTTAGAGAATGAGAATAAAGAAAGTTTAACAATTTCAGAAATAAGCAGATCCTGTAAACAAAGTTGGCTCCCTATTCTGCCTTCCTCTATAATTCATAGCCAATTTGTGGACAATGCCAAGGCAATAATGTATCGAGCGACAACTAGGTGCTAAGAAGCATGGAAGATGGAATATCTGTGTTGGACACATGCAGGACACTTCCAGATGCATGTCAAACACACATCCAACATGCACTCTAATGTTGAGCTAACATCAACATCAAAGACGTTGCACATATACCACTCAGAATGATGTGAGCTTGCCCAAAAAATAATGTTTAAAATCAATGCAGGTGCAAGAACCAATTGTTACAAATTTTCAGTACTTTGGCAGAGGGGATCCTTCAAAACCATACTAAAAACAAGGGAAAAATTAAGGCTGTGTTTGGTGTGAGTTTCTAATCAATTTTCCACCCTTATATTTGAATGCTATGTTTGGCTTTAGTTTTCAAATCATGATTTCAAATCAATTTCAAAACACATTTTGAAAACATGTTTGGTAAACCAAACAATTTTTGAATTTTTGGTCTACCTAGCCGGTTAACCGGAATAGTACTCTCTCTCTTTTTTTCTTTTTTTTTGCAATTGCTAATCGCCACTTGTTATTTGGGGGGGGGGGGGGAATTTTTTTTTTTTTTGATTTTTTTTTAAATATACAAATTTTTTTTATATACTTATAAAAAAAAAAGGGGGGGGGGGGGAATTATATTTGTTTTTGATATTTTTTTAAATATACAAATTATTTTTTTAGACCAAAATGACAAATTATTTTTTTGAATTGAATTTAAAAAGAGTTTGGTTATGAATTTTGAATAGAATTTTCAATAGAGTTTTGAGTTGTGTGTTTGGTTATGAGTTAAAAGTTTTCAATTAAGTTTTGAAAACTTTTTTCAAAACTCATAACCAAACAAATTTTCTCTTTTTAAATCATAATTCCAAAATTCACAAACTCAAAATACAACTCTATTATCAAATCATAATTCTAAAACTCTACCAAATGCTACCTAACTTTACCCCTTTGTACTTTGCCTATAAAACATTTACACCCCCTAAACTTCAAAAGCCCACACTTACATCCTTTGTAATTAAGAGAAAGATGAAACTGTCGACTTCTCTATTCAATTTAACACTGAGTGTCTCAAGCAAGCTGCAAGCCATATGCAATGCGCCATTGCATTCTAATAGTTAAAATCATGTTTATACCCTCAAAATAGTGGGCTGTTTGCCACAAAGTTTTTTGTTTCCCCTGCTTCTTTTGTACTGCAACAGATCGTATTTGGCTTTAAAAGTCAAAACACATATAAGGCAAAATACATGGGAAAATTGCATCTGATCATCTCCAAGCAAGAAAAGCAAGTTCTATTTACTACATTAGGAAGATAATTATATCCTAGCTCTGCATTACACATAGTAAAGAACTGATACATTGAAAGTTACTCCATTATAATATATAGAGAAGAGTTTCTCACGGTTCTGAATTGGGGGGAAGGTGTTGGGTGGTGCAGGTGGAGCATGGGGAGGGGGCTGGGAGCTTCTATATTAAAAAGAAACTGAGAGGGTGAGAGAAAGCCGAGAGGCAGAGGTATAAAATTTGAGTTATGTTCCTGGTAATTTTGTCTTTTCACATTTTCCATTAACTCCATCCATGTTTTCAATGTAGTGCAGAGTTCAAGGGGCATATTGTGTAGGTTTTTGAAATTGAGAGGGTGTATGTGTTTTCAGGGCAAAGTATAAGGGGGTAAAGTGATTTTTCCCCTAAATACAAATAACTTCTTTAAGAGGGACAAAAAAAACGTAAAAAAGAATATTGTGGTTCCGTACTTTCTACGTTCACATCTTCTATTTGACTCTGAATGATCAAGAGCAATAGCTTATAATTCATTATTGTATGTCTCAAATTCGCAAACTTTTTTCAATTACATGTATCAAATTTTAAATTTTTTTTCTTGGAATAATGAAATTAGAAAGAGGATGAGATCCCTCCAGTTCATACAACCCTTTAAGCATAAAGCATTATGACCCTAAGAGATGGACTCCATCACAGTGCCGGACAGAAATTTATCAATTATCATACATCTATGTATACAAACATGTGCATGCATGTGTTGGGAAATAGATTATCGTAACAGAACTAATATAGTGAAGCAGAAATGTTCAAAAATTCATTTTACAGCAAACTGACAAGCATGCCAAACTCCTGTACTTAAAAAACCAATAAATGAGGAACTGCCTTTAATGATCTTCAACTATATTAAAATCTAACTGCTTTGGAAGGTAAAGTCTTCTAGGCCACAAGAAATGAAATTGAAAAGGAACGGGACACGCACCGTACAACCAAGGCGTGTAGGACAGCCCTCGATGAACATCAATGTTTTGCAGGGCCTCTTTCCAACATCACCAGAGCCAGTGTGCTCCTCTACAAATTTTTCAAAATAAAGGGAATCACAGTGTTTAAGTTTTTGGCCCGCCAAGATCTCCGTTGATAAGATCGGTGAACCAGTACAACGAGCAACTCTCTCCAGACGATGGAGTTTCATATCAAAGACTAGTGTCATTCCTTTTGCAAGAATAGACTCTTGGATATCGCGAGAAACAGTTTTCTCCACTAAAACCACATTTGGATGGCACATTTCTATCATGTCGATGATGGACTTCAGACTATCTTGTTCCTGTCAATGATTATACAATTAGAATAGATAGTTACACACTTCCTTGAGAACATAAAACCATTCCAAACATTTTACCTGCTGCATTGATTCGAATGATGACAGCCCACTTGAAGAAAGACCTAGCGCACCTCGGATCAACAACAATCTGGGGTTCTTGTACTTGGTTGGCATATGCTTGTGTGCAGCGTGCTTTTTGAAGACCAAGCCTCTGATCACTTGACTGCAAAATCAAATGCGATTTAATTTCAAATAAAACACACTCCCCAATAAAGCTTGGTGACATTTAGATGGTTGATTTTTACAGCATTAAAATTCTATTCAGCACAATTTTCACGCTTAATGCAACATAAGAATTGTGAACACGGTGTCTGCACAGACACCTAACTTAATTTTCACCAAAAAAAAATATATACATTTCATGTATTAATGAAATACATAAGAAATTTTCAACTCGGGTGCCTGACTTAATAGTTTGAAAAGTTATCCCCATTAGTTTAGTCCCCATTAATGGAAACAATTATGGTAGAATCCATGGCTTACTGAAAAGCCTACAAATTACCAATTTCCTCATGTTCAAACAAAAGGATTTTCTTTAGATGATTTATTGGAAATGCACTGATCCAAGATCCAATTAAGCATCCAACATATGCAGAAGAGATTACTTCTCTGCTTCCAACTTCAATGAAGAAAATTTGATTTTCCTATTAAAGTGGACATAAAAAGCATATCACCTTTGGCTAGGAGAACCAGTTGCAACACACTTGATCTTCACATAGCCATCAGGATCCATTGCCTTGCCCTCAGTAGCATCAGGCTTCACAAATGAAGCAGCTTCCCATGATAAAGAAGTAACTATATCCACCCAACTGTCACCATCTTCCCCAGAAAAGGAAACCCCTACAGACCTAAGAAGTTGACAGACAAGAGCCTTGAACTTTCCATTCATCACCTCTTCCATTGCCTTTTGCTTTTCCGCTCTGAACCTGTAGCTCCCACTGCCTTCTTCTCCAAAGCTGCTTAAACTACAAGGCTTTCCCCACTTTGTGCCATCACCACACTCATCATCGTCGTCGTCGTCATAATTGACCACACTATCCTCAATGTCATCCTCAATGTCTTCTGCATATGGAGGTATCCATATGAAAAAATCCAGTTCATCTTTTGAAGAGTGAGCTGTCTCAGTTTCCAAATTAATATCTAAACTAGCACTTCCAAAAACATTATCTTTTGCTTCTTGATTATCACCATTTCCTACAATTTCTGCATCTCTAGATGCACTGCCCCTGTTATTTACACTACTGCTCTCCTTGGCGTTGTCTTTTGCCACCATGTTGGATCGATGAATTCCATTTTCATGAATCGGACAGCTCAAGTTCTGGTGGTGCCCATTTGGCCTAAAGTTGAGATCCTCTCTACAACTGTCTGAGCCAACTTCTTCTTGATAACCCCTATCAAAAATCAAAAGGTCATAACAAAATATAAAAAGGCAAGAAAGAGACTGGTTATCTTGGTAATAACTCAACCAAAAAAAAAAACCATATATTCTTAATCCAAATGGATGAGCATACCTGCCATTTTGGTATGCATCAACAGAAAAATCACCTGAAGGACAAGAAGACAAAAGTAATCAATCGAAGGACACTTAATCCAAATGGATGAGAAACAAAAGAATAATAGGAAGAGTGGGAAACTTTACTGCAGCTTGAGACAGTGCTATCACTACTGGTCAGTGAACGAGTTGGACTTATCAATGGTGTTGCATAAGGACTTGAACCATCCTGCTTTATTGATTCTTTCTCTTTCTTTTCCCCACAAAATTTACATGGCCAAACGGCATCATTGCCATTTAATTTAATAGAATTTTCATTTTCATGGTTCTCCTTGCATTCATTTGACATTGTTGACACTGCTCCACAAACATGACACATATTACACATTCAATCCCAGGATATTTGGCTAACTCATGCATTCAATCTAACCTTGATCAGCTAACTAGTTCAAGATTAAAAGGATTAATTAACTAGTCATAAAAAAAGAAAAATAAAAATAGAAACTCCCCGTTCTCAGCATTTAACAAAATCCAAATGAATTACCAACACCGAATGAAGATTTATAAAAATAAAAAATAACGAAAAGAAAAATAGTGTTTTGCAACAATTAAGGATTCAAAAACCACAGACCCCAAATTAAAAACCTTGAACTTGTCAAAGTTAAGAAACTGTTCACCAAAACACCTAGATACAGTATAACACCCTTAAACTCAAATTTCCTTGAAATAAAATTTTAAAAATAAAAATTAAAATTAAAATTAAAATTGCAGAGGCATTCATAAATACAATAAAAAGGAAATTTAAAAGAGAAGAAAAATAGTGTTTTGCAACAATTAAGGATTCAAAAACCACAGAAACCCCAAATTAAAAACCTTGAACTTGTCAAAGTTAAGAAACTGTTGACCAAAACACCTAGATACTAACACCCTTAAACCCAAATTTCCTTGAAATAAAATTTTAAAAAAAAAATTTGCAGAGGCATTCATAAATATAATAAAAGGGAAATTTAAAAGAATGATCTTATAGGCAAAGCTTCAGATTCACCATCAGACAATAATTGTGTGAATAAAAACAAGAATAAAATAAGGAGCGCAAAATACTCTTAGATCTCCCAAATTCATAAATCTATTAGATGTCATGACTGCCACATTCAAATGCTCAGATCAAAACTGTCCACATTTACTTGTTTTTGTGAGAATCCAAATATTCAACATCATCAAATCTTGATAAGAAATAGAGAGAAAAATAATAAAGAGGAATTCAGGACTAATACAAAGCCCAATACAGTAATCATCTTCCGATATCAAGATCAAAACGTATGAACATCATAATCACCAGTTACAAACCTTCAAAAACAAAAACAAAAATAGAAAATAAATTTATAAAAATGATATTATATAATTTGAGAGTGAAACAAATAAGACCATTAAGCAACTGACAGACTGACCATCCAATCTCTTACAATACAAAGAAGAAGAAACAGAAAACCCAATTGAGATTATTACCCAAATCTGATGAATCTTTAGGTCGAAAGAAGAGAGAGAAGAGTCAAAATCAAAAACAAACCACTCCAAAAGTCGATACTATTCAAATGAAAAAACAAAGACAACCCACAGAAAAAAAAGCCCCCAAAACATCCCAGGAATTTATAGACAGTTGATCTGGTGACTTGTGAGTCCACAAGATCCTCAATAGTAATTTCATTTTCCAAAACACTAAACAACAATTAAACACAAAATCAAACATTATTACAACAATATAATATCTCAGACATAAAAGCTGCTAACATTTTGAGCTGAAAACGGAAACCAGATCCATGAAGAGGATATTAAAATGAAAAAATGGAAAGGATTTGGATTTGGATGAACTTACCATTCAAGCAAGCACGCATGTCACCAACTCCAAATCAATACCAACCAAGGATATAACCACCACCACCATCACCAATTCAGTATACCCAATTACCAATATTTTCTGTTTGTTTCTCGGGAAAGTAAAGAAAGAGAGAAAAAACTTGCTAATTGAAGAGAGAGACAGAGAGAGAGAGAGCGCGTCAAAGAGAAAAGAATGTGAATTTGAGAAGGACAAAGAAAGGTGAATGTAAGAAGAAAGCAGAAGAAAGCAAAAGAAAGAATTTCCTCAAAAGTGGGGCCCACTGTGTTGTTACTGAATTACTGTTATGCTGTGTGTTTGGTTGAGGGATTTGAAGAGGAATTTAGAAAGAGAAAGGGAAAAGATGTGTGAAACTATATGAAATATAGATATATTTTTTTTCACATTTCACCTACCTTTTTCATTTCCCTTTCCAAATCCCTCCTCAAATCCCTCGATCAAAAACAACATTAGTATTGCGTATGTAATAGCACAGACAGGGACGGAGCCTATATATTATATAAATAATAACACGATAAGACCCCATCAAAATAAATAAAATAAAATGATAATAAATGTCATATAAGAACAATTTTAATGGTCAATTGGTAAAAAGAATAGTTAAATCTATAATTAATAATGAATAATGAATAATGAATAATGTAAAAAGTTATGGGATAATAATGTTGCTTTAATGGTAAAATTGTTATTTTTTATCTTAATTGGACGACTGGCGGGTTTTAAAATTTTGTAATTTAGCATTTTTTGCAACTTTCACCACCCGATCGATCATTCGGTTATCTACCTAGTCAACTACCGGTCTCTTAAAATTGTTGTACTGGCAACTTTAACTATAGATAAAATTGATATGAAATTTGACGAAAGATATAGTAAAAGTATAATGTGTAAATTACACTAACACTCTCTGAAGTTTGGATTTAATACATATTATTTTTAAAGTTTGGGAAATTACACTGACTCCCTTGTCATTGTAATTATTTAGATGGAATTAATGTTAGTATCAAAAAGACATTGAATTTACATATTTTTTCTTTTTTTACTTTACTTTACTTCTTTTGTTTTTTTTTTCCCTTTGCTTTACTTTTTTTTTTTAAATATAATTTCTTCTATTTTCTTACTAAAAGTTATTGCCTTTTATATAAGTATGGGTTTGTGAAATAAGACTATTAACGACAAGGGTGGGAATATAATTTCTATAACGTCAGGAAGTGAAATGTAATCGAACCAAATCTCAGGGGGTGTGAATATAATTTACCCAAGTATAGTTTAGCAACTTTGAGAGCTCACCGTGGGAGATGAAAAAAGTGAACTCCATACTATTTTATAGCAATAGCAGCTCCAATGTCTCACCGTTAGAGTTGTTCTAATACAAGATAAATTACAAATATTAGTTTCTGAGATTTGTTTAAATACGAATTGTCTTTTGTAGTTTTATAAATTGCATCACACTTCTTTTATTAATAAATTATCTAGTCAAATTAACAGTTTTTAATAATATCAAAAATATATTTCAATTAACAATTCAGATAATTTTATTGTTGTATAGAAGAATAATTAGAAATTTTATTTTTCTATTAATTCTATAAAATAAAAATTCTAATAAAAAATATTTATAATTTTTTAAAATATATGAAACAATACATATTTTAAATAAATTTCAAATATTTTACTTGTGATTTACCTATAATATATTATTTTTTACATTCACTAAATTCAAAGCTGATTTATGTCTGGGTTCGCGTGGATATATATACGTGTAATGTAATAAGTGGATATACATGTTGATCTTTTTCGGGGTGATTGTGTAATAACCACAATCTTTTATGGTTTTCTGATTTTGTCCTTATCATTTTTTGGCAAATTATTAACGTGCTATTTGTAATTTATTTTTCTATTAGTTTGGTCTTTATAGTTTTAATTGTATTAATTTTATTTTTTAATTTAAATATAATTAATAACATCTATTAAAAATATAATAAAAATTAAGGACAACTATTTTAGGATAGACACCAGGATTCCAATCACTTTGAGAATAGTAAATTAATTATTTTGTTCATTAATTTCAATTCAATTTATAAATGTGCATTATTAATTAGATTAAATTTGGATAATTTGTAAAATTCAAATGCAAAATTAAATATAATTAAAAATATAAGGACTGCAGTAACTCAAAAACAAACTATATGGACCACCGGCGCATGAAAAATGAGCCTATACTTATAAAAATAGATGTATAAAATGTTTAAATTACTTTAACATTATTTTTCTAATTTAAGCGATAGTTAGACTTTAGCTAGCTTGACCGCATTTTATTTTTTATTTTTTATATTTAATATTTCCTCTAATTAAGACAGTTTTCTTGACCAAAAAAGTTTAAGGCAATTTTCTATATCATTTTTAACAATGCTAGCCAACTTTATTTATTTTTTTTTTTATAGCCAACTTGTTAATATCCTACAATTAATAAAAGGGTCAAATCTAAAAAATAATAAAATAAAATAAAAGGGTCAAGTTTTTTTTATTTTAATTCTAAAACTTTCATTTTAAATTATCAGAACAATTGATAACTAAGGTCTCGTTTGGCAACTTACTGTTTGAATCTAAAAGTCAAAAAATCATTAAAATAACTAAAAAACTAACGGCCTATATCAAAAAATCAAAGATTCATTTTTCTCTCTACTTTTTGCACATTTTTTTTTTATAAAAAATTAAAAAATATTACAAATATATAAATTTTTTTATCTCATATTTTAATTAAAAAATTACTAAAATACTAAAATAATCTACTCCTAAAGGAGGGTAAAGTTACTTGTTAAACTCCCTATTACTTTTGTCTTACGATTCCCATTTGACAATTTCAAACTGTAGTTTTAAAGTTTAGAAAAAATATCAGATAAGTAGAAAATAGAGAAATTATTATAAGTCAATGGAGCACAGGTGAGTAATTTACCTAGTATTTGTAGACCAATTGAATGAAAGTGAGTACTTTTCACATTTTTTTTTTTTTCATTTATTTTATAGTTTCCAAATTTTGATCTATGTGTTGTAGAATCATATTACTTCCTTGTTTGGCGTTAGCTTTTTTAGTTGGTTTTTTTGAATTGGGACTTTTTAGTTTTGAATTAAAAGTTCATTTGATTTGACTTTTTTTGAGAGAAAAAGTAAAATAATTATGATTTGGATATGACATTTTATTTTATTGACTTATTTACCCTATTTTATTTTGTATTTTTTTAGCCCAACTAAGTTAGTCAAACGAAGGCTAAAAGTGTTTATGAACTTTCAACAATTTAATTTTAAAAATCCTATATAAAGCTTTAAACAATATATATATATATATAAAAAAAACAAACAAAAATAGCTTGATAATTGTAAAACTAATCAACTGATCCACTAAATTATTGAATTCACCAGTCTTTATAGTGGGTAACATATGATAGTAAACAATGCATAAAATAAAATAAAAAAATTAAAAAAAGAGAGATTTATTATTATTGGTTAAGCTAAGAGTATTTGTACGTTGCAAGAGATTCAAGCATGAGATCTACTAGAATTATTTAGGATCCTAGTGAAATTTATTGTTTTTAAATCTTAACATCTACAAAATATTATCTTGATACAACCTAAAATTGGATAATATAGCAGAAGAAATAGCCAAAATAAAACTTTAACCATCTTTGTATGGTTTTCTTTATGGTACAATATACCCATTAATGCACAAAACTGCTACTAATGGATATTAATCTTTCATTCATATGCTAAAAATATATATGATTATGAAAATTATGAAATCTTTGGCCTCTTTTGGAAAGTGAGAAAAAAAAAAAAAAAAAAAAAAAGACAAGCTTTTTGAATTTTTAATTTATTCGGGTCATATCACCTCTCTACTTTTTGTATGTCTTTTTGTAATAAACAAAAAATTTAGCACTTTCCAAAATAACACTTTGACATGATTTGAATCTTTGACCTCATAGCGTGGCCATTTGGTGCAGTTTATCTAAGCTGTTTATATATATATTTTTTTTATTCTGAGAGTCTGTGTCAGATTATTTAGTGTAACTTGCTTATGATTTATTAAGTAAAAATAATTTAAATAAGTTTTAAAATAAATTGATTTTCAAAAGCTTATTGAGAGGTGCTTTTAACTTTCACTTTTAAATTGTCAAAATTTTAATCTAGAATAAGCTATATCAAACACCACTAATGAGTTAGATGGTTCAGGGCCAATATATCATAATTTTAATTTAAAATACCACCTTTACCATCATCGTCGTAAGTAAGCAAGAAAAAAAGTTAGTGATATTTGCATGTACAAGTACTCGTATTTTTTTAGCAAAACTTATTTGTAGTTTATTTGATTTAAACTTGTTTTGTTTGGCAAAATTTTATTTAATTTATTTTTTTATCTCAAATATATATATATATTAAATGGAGAGCTCAAATAGTTAAAAAGTTAGGCTCCGTTTGTTTGTATTTTCAAATTAACTTTCAACACGTGAACTCCCGCTTCACGTTTGGATAGGACATTCAAAATACAATTCCGCGTGTTAATTCAAATTACAGTTTGAAAACTCGTTTGGCAGCTTGTACTTCTGTTCTCCACTTTTAACGTTTCTGCCTTCTTCCTCTTTTGATCTGAAAAGCTTCCATATCCTTCTCCATCATCTTTGAAAATTTCACGTGAACCTCATCTTTCTTTCTCTTTTGATTTGAAAAGCTTCCATATCCTTCTCCATCGTCTCTAAAAATTTAACGTGAACCTCATATTTCTTCTCTGAAAAGCTTCCACTGAGTGGGAATTGGAGTGAGATGGGATGACCGGCCGGTTGACCGCCCGGTTGTCCCGGTCCGACTTTCCGGGTGTTCGACTATCTGAAGGTACTCTGAAGGTTCAAAAGATTCAGGTTGTTTTTTATTTTTATTTTTTACTTTTTATTTCTTATCTATTATTTTTTTATAATATTAATAATTTTTTAATAATATTACATCCGTATACTGAACAAATACTGAACAATCTGTTACGACTTTATTACTAAATTAATAACGTGCAATAAATGAGAAAAAAAATTGATAATGTTTTGTAAGGTTTACGTTATGATTTCTATTTTAAAATATTAAACTTAGTGTATTTATGTTAATTTTTATTAATATGTATTCTCAAAAGTTGTTGACTTTAACAA